AAGCACAGCCTTGTGCATTCCTCCTTGCACATTTGTAACCATTTGAACGCCCATCAGGCTTAACTTAAGACTGAAACAGATGCTAGTTACGCTCGTTAGGATTATAAAAATTCAAGAGATTTGGATTAGTAATAAGTTCTTTGTAAGAGGTGATGTGAAAACTGGCACAGAAACCCTACCGACCAAGGGAGTATTGCTGGCATCTGTCGGATAGTAGTCACCACTTGATTGGTATTGTACCTGGAATGGATGATGTAACTGTTCCTGTAATCTTTTCAGAACTTTTTAGTACTTTGGCATTTATTCTTAAATATATTTATGAACATACTGTCCAGACAGAAGGACAGCAGTGCCAATAAATAAGATCTACCTCTATGTTTCAACATTTTCGTTGTGGGGTAGAGGTAAGGACTGTTCCTGACATGGACATCTCTGACCATGTCAGGGTAGCTAATGGTATTCTCCATATAGGGGCCAACTTCAAGTGTCAACCATAGTGCTATAGCAATTCCATCAGCAAAAGTTATTTAAGCCAAATTAGCTGTGTCTTCTCTGAGGCCAAGAGCTGGACATGGCCGTGTGTCTCTTCTGACTGGAAACGGCATGTTTCAGTGTCAAACCAGAGGTCCCTGGGAGGTAGATGAAGCTGATTACTTCCCTTGTCAGATAGAGCAGAAAGAAAAACATCAAACCCATAGCAAGCTCCCTGTGGTTAAATATCACTGTTAACGGACTTTCCATGGGCCTTGGATGGGGCTGTGTCTTCTCATTGCTGGTGCTAACCATAAATGCACAACAGCTAGCTCTCTAGAGAAATAAAACTATAGCTCATAAGCCTATATTCAAACAGGTTAATGTGTATAGACAATATTGTTCATATCAGAATTTTCTAGAGATCAAAATATTTTACATCATGAACCAGACCCAAAACCAAGTTAAAAAGCCATTAAAGTTCTTTAGCTAAAAATGCGACTATCATTAAGAAGTGGTATCTTCTTCAACATAACTGTTTTGTGTATGTTTTTGTTCAGAATTAGATTTGCCAACTTGTCTGAAAAGGCACTTTACTTCCACAAGCAGTGAAAAAACTGGCACAGGTCAATGAGAAGAAAACAGATCTTCCTCAAGCTCATTCAGCTAAATGGAAGGAGGCCAAGGTGTATCTGTTTCAATGAGGACAGTAGGTTTGGACAGTTGCTAAGGAGACCATAGTCTTAGCGATACATGAACATGAAAGTTTCAACTATTTAATCTCATTGGAGTCCGTAGAGTTGGCTGTGGATGTCAGGATGGAACTATATAGTTGTACTTAGCTTGTTTGATCTCGAAATCACACATAGACAATAAATACAGGATCCCACACTGCCATTTTCAGTGTCACTTTCCAAAGAAGAACTGCATTTTAACAAGGTTTAAACTGCAGTTTGAATGTTTTCACAAGTGTTTTACAATGTTGCCACTTTGCCTTTGGGAATTAGTTAAGATGTGCCTTGCAGAGCATGGAATCATAGGACAAGGCAGTAAACCCTGTAATAAACACTTGTCCATGCTACAACCAAGCTGTTCTCAGCAGTGTTTAAAATAACCACGTTTGTGACTACATGTCATAACAGAGAAGGGACACAGCCTGAAATTATTTTTTAAAAGTTGTACCTTTAATTATTCATTACTCATTATTCATAGCATAGTTTACAAAATGTAATAGGAAAAGAAACTAAAAAAAACCCCAGGATTTCTTTTATTAACAAACCTGAAGTGTTGAGTACAGGCATTAAGTACTCCATTCCATGTTAGAGGAATATGACTAGCTTGTTTTAACAATAATTAGTTAAAAGCGGTGTAAAAGCAGCCCTCTAATTAATAGAAATGCTTCCCTGCAATTTGTTACAGTAGATAGACTGGAGAAAAAGGGTAACTTTCATTGAGCAGAGTGAAAGTTACCAACACTCCATTGCTTTTGATCTGTAGTGACGTGCTTTTGGTAGGACATCAGCCTATTGATTCAGTAGTAGTCATGTTTCCAGACAGGTATTTAGCTTTCCCTGTTTTTTATCCTCACTATTTGTATTGCTGTCCTGGATGTTATTATTGTTGTAAATCTATTTTTGTTCCCATGCATCATTATAATCACCAGGTGTTCTTTTTTATAACCACGTACTACAATAACAAGAAGGGACACAGCCTGAAGTGTTGAGTTTATAGGCTATTAAACAAACCTGTACATCTCCATTCCATGTTAGAGGAATATGACTAGCTTGTTTTAACAATAATTAAAAAGATCAATTGCCTATGAAAGAAAACATAGTAGTAGCTGCAAGAAGGAAACAATCTGGCATTCTACCATGCTGTTACAGCTGTCTCTTAGAAATTAATCTCTCTCTTTAAATTGTAAGAGCTGATGATGCAAACTATCCCGAGAAAACTTAGAAAATGGAGGCTTAAAGAAAACTGTTAATCTGTAGGCAGTGTGGTGGCACAGGTAGCAGGAAAGCATGTTTCAGATTTGGCCAAAGAAGGAGAAAACCCTCTGCAGATATTTCCCCATCCTTTTTCTCTCATATAAGTCAGAAATTCCAAAGAAAAGATTTCATGCCAACATATACTGAAGGATGAGAAAAGGTATTTAGCTACTAATGTTGTCAAAAGATAACTTATGCCTAAGTGGTTATCTTTGTTTTAACTGTGTGGTTTGTTTTTTATTGTAAGTGGGTTTGCCTCATTTTTTTTATGGCTTATTTTGTAAATCTGAGGCAGATAAAAGGTGCTAATATTCCAAAAGGAAAACCTCACTTGTAAAACTGTGTCCAGAGAAGGAAATACGGAGTTTGTCCTATCAAAAAGTTGATTTTGATTATAGGATACTAAGGTTTCAATGAAGCATCCGGAAAATTAAGAGTCGCAAAAGGTGTATAGAATTACCAGCCATAAAAAAAAAAAAAACAAACCACCAAACATTTTCTCCAAATTCAAAGGGAAGAAGGCCATATATTCTTTGCTGCTCAGGCTTGCCTACTTAGGGAATTAAGTCAGCTTGTGAATCTGAAGAGTGATAGCTCTCTGTGTGGACACCCTTAGCATGCAGATACTGTTGTCTTCTCTAGTCCCCTTTCAAAGTGGATTCACACCATGTAATTCATCTGGATTTGTGATTTTTTCAGGTTTATATGCAACCTGTATCAGGTAGGACCAGACTGCTACCTTTTAGATGGATATAGTTCAGAGTAAGCCCCTTCACCCCTGTATGAGGACAACCTAACTGCTGCACTATAAATTTACATCCCAGCCTGCTTCATAGTCACTCCAACCTACAGCAAACAACCATGAGCATACGGAGTGCTGGAGAGCCTGGTACTGAGAAATGGCAATTTGATTTAGCCATTCCTGCCCTGGCCATTTTTGGCCTTGAATTTCTTCCTAACCTGATCTCTGTGACATCAGGAGGCCTTCTACAATGATTCAGATCCTTCAAGCACTTAGAAACCCTTAAGGTCTTCTAAAAAAACCATTTGTAAACCAGACAATTTGATAAGAAGGAGTTCACTGTTTCCAGAATCAACATTTCCAGTTAATGCCAGTACTCCAAAACAGAAAGAGACAGCACATATTTTACCGAAAGCTACGGAAACTGGAACTGGAACTGAAACAAGACGAGCTTTAGCCAGTAAGATTTTCTGGCTAACAGGTGTTTCTTTTTTGTCTCTGCTAATTTGCTTGCTACTCTGTAATTGAAGGTCACCGGTTAAGGAAAGCGGTCCTGTTAGCTCATGAGGAGCAGCTGCAATTTCACTGCTTTCAGTCTGACTTCATTGTGTATATTTGGGCAGTATTAACATGGCACCAATTTTCACTCCTTCTGCTTTTCCATATACACAAGGCTGTCAGGCCAGAAATGATGCCACACTCAGCCTTCAATGAATTTTGTATTGACATCTGAGGGTTTTTTGCTACATGCTCTGAATTCAAATCTCAGACACTGGGTTCATTCAACTGTGAATCAGCTATTGGTTTGTGCAGCTTGATGGACAGCCTGTATAATTTACATCCAAATGCTTTCACCACCTGGGGATTTCTAGGCTTTCCCCTTTCAACCAGTAAAGTATTTAAAGGCAGTTGTCATCTGTGAGAAGAAGCTGGCTTCTTGTCACAGGACCTTTGCTGCTTCTTGTGACAGTAAACATCTACAGTACAGCAGGGGCTTTCAATGCTGAAGAGTCTGAAACACAGGTGAGATAACAGACTGGAACCTCGAGTGTAGACTTTGCTGAGGTTGGGCAGAAGAACCACTATGAGAGAGTAGAGTCTTCTAAGAAAATCAACCAAAATAAGAATATTTGGTATAAAAGCAGTATCTTTCAGCTGCAAATTTTAAACAATCTGTATGACAGTTCTATTAGTTATATAGATAACATTACAAATACAGTAATTTCAGACACACAGCTTTTCTCCTTAGTTATACAAAGTTTCTGACCTTGCCTTCTGTCATATCACTACGATGCTCCTTCAAATTTCTCTAACATCCTTTCCTTTTCTCACCGCACTGAGCGAAAGCATCTTGTCCACACCTTTGAGAGTGATATGGTCCTTTCCCTTACTAATTATCTGCATGTTTCTTTTTATCCAGCTTCTGTTTCCTTTCCCATGCCATTGAGGACAGCCCCAGCTTGTCCATTTCCCCTCAACCATGTCTATGTCTTCATCAGCACTGTCCTCTGTTCATAGGTCACTCTTCTTGAATGAAGTTTGAAGACTCTTTACTTGCTAGTCTATCCACCCTCTCTGGGAGCAATGAGTGTCTGATGGGCAGGCCATAAGTGTATGTATTTTATGTGTAATATGTAGAATCATAGAGTCATAGAATATGATGAGTTGGAAGGGGTTCATCAGGATCATTAAGTCCAAATCCTGGCCCTACACAGGACATCCCAAGAATCATACCATGTGCCTGAGAGTATTGTCCAAATGCTTCTTGAACTCTATCAGGCTTGATGCTGTGACCACTTCCTTGGGGAGCCTCTTCCAGTGCCCAACCACAGCCTGGATGAAAACTTTTTCCTGATATCCAACCTAAACCTTCCCCGACACTATACACATTATAAAAATAGAATGTACTTCTCTGCTTTCTACTTGCTGTACTTTTAAAAACATTTTGAAATTTCGTAGGGAAGTATGCTACCTTTCTCAGACTTTGTGCAGCACTACCCACAAAAAACCCCATTTACAACTATACACAGAAATAACCACAATAAAGTAACAAAATCAGTAATGAACACCCCATGTTTTCTCCTCAAAATGGATATCAGAATTTATTCAGAATTCCTTGTACAATGTCAGCTCTGCATCTTCTGGCTTCTAAGGAAGTGAGTACAGTGGTGCAAGCCAAGAAAAAAAGGAGGAACCTTTGTGAAGTTATACTGAAGGAATACGCAATTTGTGGATGATGGCAAAAGTCACTGAGAAAGCTTGCCAAGGTCCTGCAGAAATAGCACATGCTCATGAACTAAATGCTCTGAAGCACTTTTTAGGTACTGTTGCTTGTGGCCAGACTTCAGACATAATAGAGCTTTTGTCCTTTTCTTGACAGAGAAGGTCGAAAACCAAAAACAGGAGGGGGAAGAAGATGGAAGGAATTTCAGCCTCCTCAGGAGATGCATTCTAGCTGGTGTGGACCATACTACATCCTCCCTGGATTCTACAGTGCATTCCTTTGTTTCCTCTGACCAGACATTTTCTTTTGTTTAGTCCATCAGTGCCCTCCAAAGTATGTTGTACGTCCTTGGCAATGTGGAATGCATTGTACAATCCTTGTCTCCCAGCAATGAAGTTTCCCTAGATTTAGCATTTTTATCACATGCTGCTCCTTACTCACTGTGTTAAAAGAACTATTAATTATTATTATTAATTTCTCTTATTCAGCACTGGGAAGTGAGCTAAATTAAGCTTTGGTGGAAGCCAAACTAACTGTCGACTTCATGCATATTTATTCTTCATCACCATGCACACAGCAGGGTGGCACCCTGAGAGAACAGCAAAGATTCCAGCGCTTCACCCAGCAGGGACCAGGGCTTTTAAAGAGATTTCCCAGTCAGTGATTATTGTCCACAAGGGAATGCTGTTGACTTAAAGATTTTGCATCTACCATACTGTGCCTCAGTTAGCACTGTGGGTTTGCTGTATTTCATGCAATGTGAGTTTTAAACATTGGACATTTGACTTCTCTGAGTGTATGTGTGTTTGCAAGATACACTTCTTCCCTGAATCTGTCTTTATTCACCTCTCTAAAAATGTATAAATTTCCATCTCAGCTTTATTCTAACTTGTCTGCTCACAGTGTTTGGGGGATTTTGCTTGTGAGGCTTACCCTCAACTTTCTAGCTTTTGCACTTCTTTCTTTTTAATGGAGATCTCCATACACTTCCATATTTCTAGAGATACAAGGATTTTTCTAGCCTGCTCTCAGAGTAGGCAATACAGCTTTGTACTGTGAGACAAGTTTGCACATTACCGTGCTCCTTTTCAATCAGGATGCAAAATATCACTAGGGCAAATATTACAGAAGGAGCCTAGAGTCAGTGGTGATGGGCCATGAACCAGGCTTGTTTTAGCGAACAAGAATTTAAAGGCTCCTCCCAAGCTATAGTAAGCAGCTGGTTTTTTTTAGCAGGAGTAAAGCAGAACTTTCTTGATAAAGCCATGTACTGCAGGTGATCATGCTCTCTTGATCTTTCCTGAATTTTTTCAGTAAATCTTCCTGCAGCTGTGAGTTCAACTCGAGGAGAGAGAAGAATGGTTCTTTGGCTTGGATGGCTTAGGACTAGAGAGTCTTGAAAAGTGGAAAATGAAAAGAGAGGAAATGAACATTCACCCTTTTAAAAAGGATTAACGCAGAAGAGATGATCATGCTTTTTCCTCTGTAAAAAATTGATTGCAAACAAGAATGAATAATAATGAACAATAAAAATAATTTCAAAGTGCCCTTTGAGTTAAAGAATTTAGTGCTGCTGCTTTAAATTGTTGATGCTGACTGCACAAGGAAAGCTAACAGTGTTCTAATTTGTTGTGAGAACTCTCTAAAACGTAAAAGCCTTTCTTATCAGACAAAGCCTTTCCCTCCTCTGCTTCTGCCATCTTTTTTTCATATTGCTATAAAAAGACCAGCAGTAAATGCCAATGAAAATGAAGGAAATGTGGAAATACACAGAAACTTCTGCTCTGCTTTTTTTTTCCCTTTGAGTTCTTTTAAATAATTTTGATCTGCATCCAGAGCAGTTTGTGGAGGCAGAAAACAGTGCATGTGGAACAGCAGGCAAGAATGTGGAGTGAATACTAATGCACTCCAACACCCTCCCCCAAGCTCTCTAAGCCTGAAAAATCCTTCTGCAGCATAACTAGCAGTTCCTGTAGAGCTTCCTTATATCCTCATGGAGGAAAGTCCTTTAGCATTTAATAGAAAATTATTATTTTTTCATACACCTTCTGAGCTGTTAGAACTTAATACAAAATTATATCCTTGCTATATAGTAGCTTAGAAAAAAACCCTCTGCAGGCTATCATGAATAAATTTCAAAATGTTTTTAAGAGAGATTTTTCAGGATAATAATACTTTTTTATAGGACCTACCTGAATACCTCTTGTTAAATAAAATGTGATGTCTTCACAACAGTAGAATCTTGAACCGTAAAATAGATTTTACAGATAAATTTACCAGGACAAATTTCAACTCTTTAGTGCAAGAGAAGAAAAAGGACACCTGTAAAAAACAGAAGAAAATGGAAAAAATAAAAAATCGACCTTTTTCCTGAAAAATAAAAAACAGTTCTGGGAGCCTAAACACTGAAATTATTTAAGCCTTTTTGGCACAAAATGCCACAAAAGGCCTTTTTTATCTTCTACTTTCAGAGGCCTAATTACAATCTGACATATAACTCAGAGATGCCAGCTGAAGTCAGTGAGGGACACAGGACAGGGTCTGGGGCTACTTTGGTATCAGGACTATTTTTTTTTCACTAAACCATTAATTTTGTGAAAGGGACCATGTGATGTCTGGTCTGCAATAGCAGAAGAGTGCAATCAGTGACATTCTCTTTTCTGCTTCCTCCACCTCACATTTCTCATAAATTAGGGGTTCATCTTTCCTCCTTTTCTGCCTATAAAATGACTTTACATGTTCCGAGTGGAAATACCCAGAGGGACAGATGTAAAATTTCAGCATAAGTGTGTATTGGAAGCCTCTCTTCCAGAGCCTCTCTTCCAAGCAAATCTGAGGACAAATCAGCTGCTGTTCCAGCTCACATGCACAGTTTGAAGTTGCAAAGAGATGAAAACCATCACAATTCCATAAAGATAGTAAATTTACTCTCTCTAAACCTCACATGGGTTGTTTGCAAAAATTTACTTCCCCTGGGCCATTTCTCTACAAAAGGACAGAGTGGCCCAGTGTAAGGCTCTTGAAAGACCTGACTTCAGTTCTCTGCTGAGGCATCACCTTACCCATGCGCTCCCAGCAAAGCATCTACACTGGTCTCCAAGTTATTTTGGCTCTGCAAGAAGAGATGGGATCTGACAATCTTGCAAAATGGAGCCTGTAATTTATTTTTTGCCATGTGTTTTTTATTCTGTTTGGGTAAAACCCCATAAAGTGGTATTGCTAACAGATTAATACCTCAAACTGGGATGCAGTTGGATTCTGCAGTAAGAAGAGCTATATGATTACCTTAGGTAGGTAACCAAGAAGTAGCGTTGACAGGCCTTGGCATTTAGCACGCGGACTGTGACATTGGAAAGATTTATTCAAAACTACTGCATCAATTAGAGTCTGTATTTTATTTCACTGCAATATGCTTCTTGGTGTTTTGATTTCTAGCTTATTTAGCAAAGTAAGCTCCCTGTTGAATACATCAGCTGACTATTAAAATGAGTGAAAATCCATGGCCTTCCACAACAGCACTGCACAGAAAAAAGCAAATTAAATTGAGACATAGATGAGAAGGGCGAAGGAGATTCATCAGCCACTCTGGCAACCGCAAAAGCCAGACAGTGATGGTTATCTCTCCATTTCCCTTCTCCCTGCCACCCGGTTGTAGGAGCTGACTCAACATGATGGGGAGAAGGCAGAACCCAGATCAAGGATCTCTTTAATGGAATCTCATTGCCCCACAGTGAAGACCTGTTTTTTTCCCTCCCATTATCTCTGTCTGTCTTCATGTAGCCTCATTACCTTTCCTTCATTTCACCCCTCCCTCCTCAACCCTACTTCTTCTTCTATCAAAAAAGGAGGAGGCACAAAGCTATGATGTTTCCTGCTGCTACTACCGTATGCACTTTCCTCGCATGTTGTGACATTTCTTTTGGGGCCTGTCTTGACTGTTTGCATTTATGGGCTGATTCCAATGGGATGAAGTTCAATAAAGCCAAGTGCCGGGTCCTGCACTTTGGCCACAACAACCCCCTGCAGCGCTACAGGCTGGGCACAGAGTATGGATTACTAATTGACAGGAAGCTCAACATGAGCCAACAGTGTGCCCAGGTGGCCAAGAAGGCCAATGGGATCTTGTCCTGTATCAAAAATAGCGTGGCCAGCATGATCCTTCCCCTGTACTCTGCGTTGGTGAGGCCACACCTTGAGTATTGTGTTCAGTTCTGGGCCCCTCAGTTCATATTGAGGTGCTGGATAGAGAAGAGCAACAAGGCTGGTAAGGGACTGGAGCATAAGTCCTATGCAGCCTGGAGAAGAGGAGGCTCAGAGGTGACCTCATCATAACTACCTGAAGGGAAGTTCTAGCCAGGTGGGGGTTGGTCTCTTCTCTCAGGCACTCAGCAATAGGACAAGTTAAGGCCGCCAGGGGAAATTTAAGTTGGATATCAGGAGAAAATTCTTTACAGAGAGAGTAATCAGGCATTGGAATGGGCTGCCCAGAGAGGTGGTGGATTCACCATCCCTGGAGATTTTTAAACGCAGATTGGACGTGGCACTGAGTGCCATGATCTAGTAAATGGACTGGATTTGGACCAAGGGTTGGACTCGATGATCTCGGAGGTCTTTTCCAACCCAATCGATTCTATGATTCTATGATTTCATACTTCCATGTTTTATATTACTCACAAAGTGGCTGTGACCTCTTGAATGTTTTCTGAATAAGTAAGATTTAGATATGGTAAAGCATAGGCAGTGGCACCACACCAATGAAGAGCAGAGTGGCAGGCACTATTTTAGAGATCAAATCAAAACTCAGGTGTGTGAGGGCTCCTCCCTCACCCTTTCTCTGCTCAAGCAAATGTCCCACCAGTGGCACTTGGAATTGCTGCATCTGTCTTCAGTTGGACTCTGGGGAGACAGAAAACAACAGAATAGTTAAGGGCTATAAATCTTGCTCAGCAGCTGAGGGCTAGTCGAGCATGAGCCAACCAAAACACAACTGGTATGCAAATACAACTGTAAGTCAATCACCTTATCCCCATAACTAGCAGACAGTCCAGGACTTGTTGAGCTCTACTGCATGGTAGGGTTCCATGCCAGGATCTCCCCTTGAGTGGGGAGACACCTCTCATAGTTACTCCTCGAGGCTAAGAGCATTCTTATCACATCAGATATTCAGTAGGTGAATTGGGAATAGGAGCACTGAAACTTGGAAGTCTTAGCAAAGCGATAAAAAGAATTGCTTGTACATATATGATCCTTTAGATATAAACTGTTGATAAAGTCTGGGCCTGAGCCTGAATACAGCTGCAGCTAAAACTCCTCTCTGAGAAGGAATTTAGAATGCAAGGGGGTCCTTTCTGAACCTCATGACTTGACAACAGGGTCTCCTGACATCCCTCTATGCAGTACATACCTTGCCAATGAATCTTGTTAAGCCACTCTCACATCTGCCATTGAACTTTGTTATCTCACTGTCCTATATCAATAAAACGTATTGTTGCTTTTCTCTTGCGAGTGAAGTGCATGACTCCAACCACAACAAGGTGAGGCTCGAACCATATAAGGGTCCCCCCATACTCCAGCTAGAGTTGTTACGGCAAGGCCTCGTTCCTGAGATGTGCAAGTACATGTCCAACTCCAAGCGTGCCAGTAGCCCACTACTTTGGATAGGATTACTCACACTATGAAGTACCTTCCTGAACTGGAGCTTCAGTATTGAGTCGAATAGCAGAGAAAAAAGCTTTTGAGACCCATTGAAAAAGTGCTAATTCAAACCCCATGTAAAATGTAGGCTAGTTTGAACAGCTACATTATTTCTCTAAAAAAATAGACAGTCATCTTGGCAAAGCTCACTTGTTATTGAATTCATTTTTATATGGCAAATTATGGGAAATTTAATAACACCTCACATTAATTTTTTTTATGGAAGCTATGTGAAAATATTTCAAGTTATTAAATGCTAACACCCTTAAGTAGTCTTCAAAACTTAACTAGAAAATCAACATTTTTCTTTATTTTGATCCTATTTAAAAATCACACATAGACACAGCTTCTTTCCCTATGAAAAAATGGGAAACCTTTTCAAGTAATGCACATCAATGAAAGAAAATGCAAGTAGATATAGATCAAATAACATCTATATGAAAGTAGATATAGATCAAATAACATTTTTGTTTCATTTACTGCCAACCCTTGTGGACGTCCTTTGCTTTCTCACATATTGCATGATTGCCTGGGGCAATCTTCATGAATCATTTACATTTGCCTACCATTGCATTTGGCCCAATGACTTTTCCGTGAAACCACAGTTTGTGGTACCTCCTAAGGGTATTCACCATGAAAACTTTGTGCATCATTTTAGGGGTGTTGTAATGACTGAAATACAGTGAGTAAGAGACATACAGGAATTTCTCTCACAGTAGGAGATGAAGTAAACAAATAAGAAAATACAATTTCATCATAAACCCGTTGGGGTTGGAGTTAGGTCATCATGTCAAGCAGTATAAAAAGAATAGCTCGGTCTCCATGTTCATTAAATTCTACTCTCTGCTGAAATTGCAAGCAAGAATGCTAATTAGCAATTGCCACTCTATATTGGACTGGCACTGGGAGATGTCTAAATATTCATCTCACTAAAAAATAAGTAGCTTCTTGTCACCTAACTTATTTTTGAAGAAAATATTTAGAAGTAAACAATTCTGCTTCCCTTTTTCAAAACCTCACTCTCCATCTTAAGCTATTCTAATTTTGCAAAAAATGCACAGTTAATTCTTTTAAAAACCCCAATCACTTATTGCTACAATATTGTATTGATGTTGCTCAAAGGATCACATCACAGCCATAACATTTTGCACTGAAACTGTTGGCTAGATTAATTGTATTGGCCACATTAATGGATTCCAGAGTTGAGGAGATCATTTTGCTTAGCAAACCTGACTGCTTGTGCAGTACAGATGACACAAATGCTCTGCGCTGACTTCAAGAAAATCACAGGATCATAGTTTGTGTTGGAAAGGACCTTTAAAGGTCATCTAGTCTCACCCCTGCTTGGGGAAATCACAGAATCTTGGAATATTAGGGTTGGAAGGGACCTCTGCAGATCACCTAGTCCAATTCTGCCAAGGCAGGGTTAACTAGAGCAGGTGACACAGCAACTCATCCAGGTGGATTTTGAATGTCTCCAGAGAGGGAGACTCCATGACCTGCCTGGGCAGCCCGTTTCAGTGCTCTGCCACCCTCAAGGTTAAGAAGTTCTCCCTTGCATTGAGGTGGAAATTCTTGTGTTTTAGTTTATGACCATTGCTCCTCATCCATTTTGATTGTAAGATCCCTCACTGAAACATTAAGGTTTCACTGAATAATTACAGACAGGCTTATCCTGTCTTTGTACACAGAGCATCAGCTTCTCTTTTATGCCATGCAGTTCACAAAATATTACTCTGTTACCTCAGTATTGAACCCAGCAGCTTTTGTCCACTTTTTCCAAAGGGACACTGAGTCTGAATTCAAAGACACAAAGAAGTGGAAAATCATAGAATCATAGAATCATAGAATCGATTGGGTTGGAAAAGACCTCCGAGATCATCGAGTCCAACCCTTGGTCCAAATCCAGTCCATTTACTACATCATGGCACTCAGTGCCACGTCCAATCTGCGCTTAAAAATCTCCAGGGATGGTGAATCCACCACCTCTCTGGGCAGCCCATTCCAATGCCTGATTACTCTCTCTGTAAAGAATTTTCTCCTGATATCCAACTTAAATTTCCCCTGGCGGAGCTTAAGCCCGTGCCCCCTTGTCCTATTGCTGAGTGCCTGAGAGAAGAGACCAACCCCCACCTGGCTAGAACTTCCCTTCAGGTAGTTAAATACACCAGTATTCTTGGTATTTTGTTCCAATGGTTAACCGCCACCAAAATAATTTCCTGACTGCTTATTTTTGGTATCTTCTGATTTAAATTATGTAGACAATTCTTCCTGATGTCATTTTGAACAACTGAAGCCCCAGTCCAACACCTGTTTAAATCAAGGGAAACATTCATATTGATTACAAAGAATATTGAACCAAGCTCTGAATTATATATAACACTTCTCTGTGGTTTATGAGATGAATGTTAAAGAAAGTATCTCTTTATTTTCCACCAGAAAGAGAATATGAATGATAGAGAGAATGCTGCCCTCTCATGGTTTTATGGATGAATATGATCTCATAATATACTAAAAATACAAAAAGAATATTTTTAGGCTGCTATATGCTGATCTCTTCTCTTTTATGTATTCCACTGAAAGCCATACTTGTAACAGGTACCACTCCTGCCACAATAAATGTGATTAAAACACTGAAAACATAGCCCATTAATGTCAGACATGGAAGTAATGAAGCATGAGGGGAAAGCGTGATGCAAGATGCAAGTTTAGTGTCTCCGTTTTCCAACCAGCTTTGTGAGCTCATCCATTCTTCAGATGAACTGTTCTACACAACATACTTCCCCCGCTGGAGAAGTCCTGAGTGCCACTGAGCAGGAGGTACAGAAAGAACTTTTCTAGTTTAAGTGCAAGTCAGTTCCAAATTCCTGGAACATTTTTCTCCTCCAAATGAGTCATCTCCTGACCATGCATAAAGGAACAGAAATAGGTACAAACTGATTGAGAGCAAATCAAGCTTCCTACACATCCTTGGTAGCTGTTGAGCAGTATGGAACATATCCAGCATTCCCAGCATATCCAGTGCACACAAGGCCCAGGGCAGCTACTGAACTAACCCCAAGATCAGAGCTGCTGTTGATCTTCTGTGCCCTCCATGCACATTCTCTGCCAGTTGATAATGACCTTTTTCTGTCTTCATGATCAGTTGAAATTTCACAATGAAAAACATAGCATTAAACAAGAAGACCCCATGCGATGATCTCCCTAGAAAAGTACTCCTGCAGGCTACTCAGAGCAGCTTTGTATTTTTTTGTAAGAACTGGATATAATACTGCATAACCTCAAACCAAGAGCTCAGTCATGTCTCACATTCTGTGGAGTCCTTCATGTGCAAAACCATGAAAGAAACCACATGAAGATATGTAGACCATTGAAATCTTCAAGTAAACATTACCCACATTGATCTATCACTTGCTTACTAGGAATAACCAAATTCCATTTTGACTAACTGCTAAACTATGTTACATGGGAAAAAAATTGCATAAAATAATTAGTCATATTTAAACAAACTGTAGGCCAGAACAGACCATTAGGTCATGTAGCCTTGTGTCCTGCATAACACAAATTTCACCTAATTACTGCCAGTAAGTTATATTCCGTTATAATAAAATCCTCCAAGACAGTGTGAAAATTTTAAAAAAGATAATTTCTCTCCTTTGGTAGATTGTGAAGGTTAAATCTCTGTCATTCATAAGTGTTTGCATGTTTTCCCTTCACTTCTCACTGAAAGACATCTGTCTTTCAGTCATCATTTTGTAGCCTTATTGACATCTTAATTTTACAGATGGATCACCCAAACAGTTGTTACTCAAAGGATTTTTTTGTAATGGAGACTTTCTAAAAAAAACATAACGGTTTTGTCTCCACAATGCTATTTTTTAATAGTTTTGGGTATAGTCATGACAGTATAATGTTAAATAAGCTTCTATTCCCATATAGGATGGTAAACTCCTGAAGTTATTGCACTGAAAGGGGAATTTCACACTTAACACACTGGAAATTATATGGCTTATCCATTTTCTCAAAATTGGACTGGGATATTTTGGTTTGGCCATACTAAAGCTAAAAAATTACTTGGATACCAAATGTGACTATTCAATACATTTCAAATTACTTTATTTTGGGTCAGGTTATAACACTGTAATAGGGTGAATGGCAGCAGAGTAATTCTAGTTTCCAGTTGGTCTCTGGGATGAAAACCTCTCATGTCTATCACAGTCAACCAGCTACATAGCTCTGTGCACATAC